CTTTTAACACTTGCCGGAATTTGGCCTTTATTTTCCCAAACGTCATTTTATCAAAGTTAACTACACACTTCCTCGTTAGTAAGTAGCCTAACCCTTGTATGTATGGGTCTTCAATGTCAGCCAAGTATACTTTGTGTCTGTCCTTTATGTCCATGAGCTCAATAGTTACCCACACTGGTCCCCACAACCTTGCATAATGTCCTGTCACACCACAGAGTTTCTGAATGGCTTTTGGTACTCCTTTGTGATCTAGCACCTTGATACTCACAAGGGTTTGCTGAGATGCAGAATCTATGACAAAGTTGCACCCTTGGCCATCTGGCTTTCCTGTCACGTAGACACTATGTGTGCTTGTCATTTTACACTTAGCTGTTGGGACTTTCATGATAGGGGTTGGTAGGCGTCCCTCAGCACCAACCACTACTGGTTTCCCGAATCTGACTTATTAGTAGTATTCTTGTTACACTGGCTCCTCATATGTCGTTGCTCTCCACAGTTTCAATAACCTTTCTGTATAGCAACTTTTCCTGCCATAGCATCTTCCCTGTGTTGAAGTTGCCGGCATTGAGCTTTCTTGTGCCCAGGTTTGTTACAGTGCAAGCAAAAGTCCCTCAAACTTCTCTGAAAGCTGCCCTTTTCTGGCCTTGAATCCTGATGACTGTACCAACCTTGGCAGAGCTACTGGCAGAGATGAATGGATAAACAGAGGAGCAGAAAGCAGTATATCTGACAATGAGCTTGAAGGAACAACCACAGAAAATACTTGAACAGACGACAAACACAACTATAGAGCACTGGTAGAGGCTCTGGAACTCAGGTACGAAACCCAGAATCAGTCAGAAGTCTACAGGGCTAGATTTAGGACGAGAATCCGTGCTAAAGGGGAGAGCCTGCAAGAGCTGGCACAGGACTTGGAAAGCATGGCGCACAAGGCCTACCCAACTGCACCACCCGATCTCCTCAAGTTGTTGCTGAGGGATCAGTTTGTAGATGCCTTGGACAGTCCACAACTAAAGATACAAGTGAAGCAAGCACACCCCTCTGCCATGCAGGATGCAATGGCCAGAGCTCTTGAATTTGAATCCTATGTTAAGTCCAGCACAGATATACCAAGGTTGGTACAGTCATCTAGATTCAAGGCCAGAAAAAGTCAGCTTTCAGAGAAGTTTGAGGGACTTTGCTGGCACTGTAACAAACCTGGGCACAAGAGAGCTAAATGCTGGCAACTTCAACACAGGGGAGATGCTACAGCAAGAAACGCTGCTACCCAGAAAAACTGTTGGAACTGTGGGAAGCAAGGACATATGAGGAGCCAGTGTAAGAAGAATATTACCAACAAGTCAACCTCAAAGAGACCAGTAGTGGATGGTGTTGAGGGACACTCAACAACCCCCATCGTGAATGTCCCAACAGCTAGGTGTAAAATGCCAAGCACACACAGTGTCTATGTGACAGGAAAGCTGGATGGGCAAAGGTGCAACTTTGTCATAGATTCTGCATCTCAGCAAAACCTTGTGAGCATCAAGGTGTTAGATCATGAAGGAGTACCAGAAGCCATACAGAAGCTTTGTGGTGTGACAGGACATTCTGCAAGGTTGTGGTGACCAGTGTGGGTAACTATTGAGCTCGTGGGCATAATGGACAGACAGAAAGTATACTTGGATGACATTGAAGACGAATGCATATTAGGATTGGACTACTTACTACCGAGGAAGTGTGTAATTAATTTTGATAAAATGACGTTTGGGAACAACAAAGGCCAAGTTCCGGTAACTGTTAAAGGAGAGGTTGAACTAATTAGGTGTCATCAAGCTGAAGTCAAGCCGCCTGAAAGATTTGATAATGATGAAGTAGAACCAAATATAGATATCAAAGCAGAACAGGAGAAAGACCAAGATTTGAAGCCAATAATTGATTTTCTAAAAGCAAGTGTTGTGCACCCTGCTTGGGAGAAGGTGTCTAATCTAAGCCCTGTAACAAAGAACTATTGAGCACAATGGCACCAGTTGAAGCTTGAAGATGGTATTCTTCTCTGGAGATGGGAAACTGCAGATGGGAAAGTGACGACCTGTCAAACGGTTATACTGAGAAAGTTACGGGAAGTTGTGCTGCGTGAATCCCATGATACTTTAGCTGGAGGACATCTCGGAGTTAAGAAAACATTGATTCACCTACGACAGAGATTTTACTTGATAGGTATGAGGCAAGATATGGATGAATGGTGCAGAATATGCAGTACATGTTGTGCTAAAAGGGGACCCAAGCATAAAGGACGTGCTCCAATGAAGTTATATCAAGCTGGCACACCAATGGAAAGAGTAGCCAGTGAATTGCTGGTCCTCTGCCCCAAACTCGTGCTGGAATCAAGTACATTTGTGTGGTGATGGAATATTTCACTAGGTGGCCTGAGGCATATGCAATACCAAATCAGGAAGCCACAACTGTAGCTTTGGCTCTTTGTGATTTCTTCTTCAGATTTGGTATGCCATATGAAATACATTCAGATCAAGGCCATAACTTTGAATCAGCTGT